AACAAAACTAAGAAGAGTTGAAACAGTTTTGAGACATCTGCAACAAAACTAAGAAGAGTTGAAACAGTTTTGAGACACCTGCAACAAAACTAAGAAGAATTTGATACAGTTTTGAGACACCTGCAACAAAACTAAGAAGAGTTGAAACAGTTTTGAGACACCTTCAACAAAACTTAGAAGAGTTGAGACAGTTTTGAGACACAACAAAACTAAGAAGAGTTGAAACAGTTTTGAGACACCATCAACAAAACTTAGAAGAGTTGAGACAGTTTTGAGACGCAACAAAACTAAGAAGAGTTGAGACAGTTTTGAGACACCTGCAACATAACTGAGAAGGGTTTGAGACAGTTTTGAGACACAGACTAATTTGATCTTACAAAGGACCTGTAATCTGTGCTTTCAGATTGTTTTAGATGTTTCATACAAACAGGAGACTTTCAGGTAAATCCAGAGTCAGACTATCCTGCAGATGAGGATTGGAGCTAAAAAAGAAAAATGCTGCTGTCTCACCATGAGCACGCCGTACGACCACCAGTCGGCGCTCTGCGTGTGGCCCCGCCTGTTCACCACCTCAGGAGCCATGTACTCCACCGTCCCACAGAAGGAGTAGGCTTTGTTCTCRTGGTCTATGGACTCCTTACTGAGGCCAAAGTCTGAACACACACATCAGATCAGACCAACTTAATATTCCAAAGAGAAGGAGTGAGGACAAAGATGGTGGGCAGCAGCTTAAAAGAGCAGCAGGAGAACGCACATGGAGTGACAACACAAAGTGACAGAAACACAAAGAAAAAAGAAAGAGTGTAAGATTACACACCGGTCAGCTTGATGTGTCCGTCCTCGTCCAGCAGGATGCTGAAACAACAGAAGCTTCATCAGTTCACAGCTTTATGATCCAGTTTCATGGTGTCCCAAACCCCTCGGGACAAACAGGAAGTGGAAAAGCTTTGGCTTTAGCTCGATTCWATACAACTATTTTACTTCCAACCAGAACAAACATTAAGATCCATTAAAATCTGAGTGAACTGGATGAGTTCAGAGGGTCAAACAAAGGGTTTTAGTAGTTTAAACATCTGCTCACTTCTCAGGTTTCAGGTCTCTGTAAATGATGCCCAGGTCGTGCAGGTGGTCCAGAGCCAGAGCGAGCTCCGCCAGGTAGAACTTCACATCCTCCTCTGTGAACATTACCTGCAGCAAAAACAAGGACTCAAAAACCAGGCCTTCAAACCCTGAAACCTCCTGTAAGCAGTCGTTTTACCCCAGAACCACAGGAGGCTGCTTAAATCAGGGCTCACCTCTTTGGAGAGCCGGGTGAAGAGATCTCCTCCTTTGAGAAAATCCAGGATCAGGTAGAGCTTCCCCTCCGTCTGAAACGCTGCAGGAAAAAGAAGACCACAAACTGAGACCAGATCCAGGAGTTTCTGGACCCTCACCTGTTAGAASCTGAGGTTCTGATCGGCTCACCGTAATGTAGCTTGACGATGAAGGGATGGTTGACCTCCACCAGGATGTCCCTCTCCATCTTGGTCCTGACTCGGTCACGGACTGAAAACACAAAGCACAGATTAAACAACAAAAACACAAAGATTTTAGTTTTATTTTGTCTGAAGCTGCAGAGGAACAGAGYTCCACAGGAAGGTCAACAAAGAGTTAATCTGCTTCCATCAGGTTGTGTCTCCAGCAGCTGAACCTCCTCGACTCAGGGATCTGTTTTCTCCTCTTTAGCTCCTTTTGTCTGTCTCACCTGAAGGTGTGAAGTTATATTTTAGGAGACGATGACGGAGAAGTGATGAAAACAGAACTTCTTAATGAGAAAGAGCCTGAGCTGACTCTGATGTAGAGCTTAGGTTCTTAACAGAAGAAAGATAAAACGTTCAACAGAACAGGTTCTAGATCCTGTAGAACCTGCTTCAGCAGCAGAACCTCAGTGGTTCTGGTTCCAGTCTCTGGTCCAGGTTTGGGTTTGTTTACCTTTCAGCGTGGCTTTCTTCAGGACCTTCATGGCGTAGAGCTGACCAGCATCTGGTCCTGTGACCTTCCTCACCAAGAACACCTGAGGACACGAAAACAGCTGGAATAAGACTCACCTGTTCATCTGTTCATCCATCCATCTGTTCATCCATCTGTTCATCCATCCATCCAACCATCTGTTCATCCATCCATCTGTTCATCCATCTGTTCATCCATCCATCTGTTCATCCATCCATCTGTTCATCCATTCATCCAACCATCCATCTGTTCATCCATCCATCTGTTCATCCATCCGTTCATCCATCTGTTCATCCATCCATCCAAACATCTGTTCATCCATCCATCTGTTCATCCATCTGTTCATCCATCCATCTGTTCATCCATCTGTTCATCCATCCATCCAACCATCCATCTGTTCATCCATCCATCCAACCATCCATCTGTTCATCCATCCATCTGTTCATCCATCCATCCAACCATCCATCTGTTCATCCATCCATCCAACCATCCATCTGTTCATCCATCCATCCATCCAACCATCTGTTCATCCATCCATCTGTTCATCCATCTGTTCATCCATCTGTTCATCCATTCATCCAACCATCCATCTGTTCATCCATCCATCCAACCATCCATCTGTTCATCCATCCATCCAACCATCCATCTGTTCATCCA